TGGCTAGTAGATTCTATGTCTGCAATGGTTTGATCTAGATTTTCATTATTATTACTATTTCGAAAAGACACTACGTCTGAATAAGATTCGTTAGTACATTCTTCTATATCATTTTTCTCAACAATTTCCTCTCCTATGGTGTTAACCGACGAATTAAGTTCCTCAAATCTTTGACTAATAGTGCTGCGATTAAAAATACTATCACTAGAATTCCCATATATCTTATATTGCTTTTTATCTGTATACATATCAATTGTAGAAGATGCTTTAATATCAGATAGTATATTTTGCTCATTGAGACATATTTTACTATTATTAAAATTCACACCATTTTTATTATCGAATAAATCATTGATGGACTGCGAATGATATGACTTGGTTTTTTCTCGATAATATTTCGATCTATGTGATAACTTATATGATTTTCGATCTGTAGATGACGAAATATTGGGCGATGACAACGGTTCCATCCAAGCCGCATTGTAGGAAACAATATTAGTATGCTTTAATTTAGCTAATGTCCATACTTCATTAAGTTGCTGCTTGATAGTTTCTATATGATCAACAGGCATAACTATTTTTTTAATCGCATATTCGATGCCGTCGAGACGATGTTGTGCTTTATAAACTTCGCCAAAACCTCCACGAGCAATGAAGCATATTTCGCGAAATTCGTCGCGATAACGGAATTTCGGTGTTATGAATCTATATAAGAATGTGAATAATATCAATGTAACGTTATAAAATACACTCTTCGTAAACAAAATGTTGCGCAGGTCTAGACTATTATTTAAAATAAAATAAAGATATGGCGAAATGATACAGGACTTTCCATTTTTTCTCAATAAGATCTATGAGAAAGAAATCAGTTAATGCGGATCTTAATTCTTAAATATTTCGGAATTTATATACATATTCTGCAAATTGTGCGCAAAATCTTTTTCGAGCTTGAAACGCAATCATTGAACAGAATTAGACTAGTAGTATGTAATATCACATTAAATTGACAAACAATAATTTTTGAAATTAATAAGCCTCTTAAAATATTAGTAATTTGATACTTTAGCATTTTAAGAAATAGGTTAATCCGGGATCCGAATTCGGATCTCCTGTATTCCGCGCGGATATTCTCCATCATTTGCAATGAATTAAATTATATATAGTATTAAAAATGCTTAGATTAATATCAAGTTATTAATAGCCTTTGAAAGTGCTTATTAACATACAAAATTAATATTAAAAAAACTCTGAGAAAAAAGTTATAAGAATCGGCGTTGTGATTAGTGCGCATAAAATTATATATCGAAAAAACATTTAATGTATTACCATTAGAAGATGTAAATTTAAAAAAATCATATGACATCATATATGTAACAAACTCGGCTATTACAGGCCATCTTCAGCGTAAATATTGAAGATGTAACAATAAATTAATTAACTTGATCCGTCTCATTGACAATCGAATTCAAATGTAAGAGGATGTTTATTCCACAGCTAATTAGAAGGCTGAATGGTAATAAAAATGATTAAATTGCTTAACAATTTAATAATTTTTATATTTTAAATATTACGTGATATTACTACTAGTTTGCATTTCAAGATCGCAAAAGATTTTAGCGCGCGATTTGCAGAATTGAATATGAATATTAATTCATCGAAAGAATATATTGGATTGTCCGGAAAGTTCATGCCGATGTTGAAGGAAAATTGAAATGTAGAAGATTTAAATTTTAGTATACATTTATTAAATTATATAGATTAGTCGGCACGAACTTTCCGGACAACCCAATAATATTAATTCAGTTAAAACGTCTAACGAATATAATTATTATTATTATATGTATTATTATTAAATCGACGTTTTAAATAACTAACATTGATCAGTGCAGATTTATATGCTCCTTATTAATTATTATTAAATTAATTCATTTTGAAAATTTAAGCTCTAAGATCTGCTTTAATTAAAAATAGGTTTATTTTCTTGATTTGTTTTCTCATCGGTCTAATACAAATTGTATTTGTTGATCTATGAGAAAGGTATGACGTGTCGAAATCGTGTTGATCCCGTTATCAAGAAAACAAACTCAACATCTACATCTGTGCATAACATTTTTTGTCAAAGAACATATTACAAGATTTAAAAAAATATATTGCATAAAATGCTGTAATACCTTGGTATAGATATAGACAAAGCATTTTCACTTTCAAGCTCACCACGAGTGACTGTAAGCATGTGATACAAAGCATGTTGATATTGTCTTCTTAGCATTTCGAATTCCGGCGTATTATAGGTGTCGTTAATTAATTGCAACTGATGTAATTTATCACAGATCGCTATAAAACAAATATTGTTACAAAACAAATGTCTTAACAGAAATATTTCTACATGTTAATAGTAATGTTTAAAGAGAAGGATTACCATAATATAATTTATTTCTGCGAACTTTATCCTCTTCTAACAGATTGCATAATTGTCGTAGGAGTGATTCAATTAAGATGCCAGTGGACTGAGTTATTTGCTGTTCTCGTGGCGCAATTGATCTGTTTTCGTTTTCATTAATATCGTCCAGACAAAGTGTTGACCTCATGTTGTTACTTGAGCCTAACCAAATCAATATTTGTAAATTTCAGATATGTATCCCAGTTTTAGGAAATTACAAAAATGTCCATTTGAATGTTAACGAAAATAATGCAATGTATATCAAAAAATGTGACCACAAATTGTGTCCAATTATTAAATCATTAATAGCGTGTATTTATAAAAAAAAACTCTGCAGTATTATAGTTAAGTTTTGTTATACCTTATTAAATATTAAATAATAACATTTTTTCGAAATGACCATCTCTAGCTTCGATTCAAGTTTTAAGATGCTTCGGAAACAATGCATTTTTTTATGGATAAATTCTATCTACCAATAGAGGTCTTTAATTTACTAAATAATGAAAATCTTTCAAATCTATAAAGTTTTTTTTAGTATTTAATTAAATATAATTAATAGAGTCTGCTTTATTTTATACATTATATACATTATTATAGTATAATTATATAAAATAACAGTATATTAACAGTAACATAGAAAAAAATGAACTCTGAAATATTAGTTATTCTCTGCATGTAGTAAGCTGACATTTTGTTTAAATAAGTCTTTAATGTTATTTTAACGACAAAATGACTTCTTTAATATTTTGATGTAAAAATGAGAAAGTTTATTTAATAACTTATCCTTTTTGTAGCCACTTTTTTGTCACCTTGTACATAAAATTATGAATACTGAAACACTACTACTGTGTCTATTGATAATTTCAAATTTTTATAATTTAAAAATTACAAAAATATCCATTTCAATTCTTAAATATAAAGAATGATGCAACATATGATGTACTTATTAATATTGCAAAAAAATTAGAAAAAAATCATTATCAATAAACATTTTTGTAAGATATCTTTTCTTCTTTCGCAATGAAATGAATCGTCATTTTAAAAAAGATTCTACATTAAAAATTTTTACTTATTGTTAGAAAATTTTTTATATATTAAAATCTATTTTCCATATTTCGTAAAAATTTCAAGATAATACATTTTGAATATTTAAACATTCCATTTATCATAACATAAAAGTCACTCGATTCTACA